TAAAAGCAATGGGAAACCCTGAAGAGTTTTAGGATATGTGCATGTGCTTAGTCATTCAGATGTGTCTGACTGTTTGCAACTCCAAGGACCAAGGGCAGCCAGGATTCTCTGTCCATGGAGATTCTCCAGGCAAGATTATTGGCATGGGTTGCCATGCCCTCCTCCAGGGGATCTTCCCAACCCAGAGATTGAACCCAGGTTTCCCATACTGCATGCAGATTCTTTACTATCTAAGCCACCAGGGAAGCCCAGGAAGAGAAGGGATATGGTCAAAAGATTGCTTTGTTTAGAGGTCCTGGTTTAGTCTAAAGTGAAACAAGAGCATAAAACATCTTTTGGGGACATCTAGGTACAATCTTCCCTTGTAGCTTAGTCAGTATCTGCCTGCAATTCAGGAGACCTGGGTTTGATTCCTGGGTTGGGAAGATCCCCTGGAGAAGGAAATGGCAATCCACTCCAGTGTTCTTGTCTGAAGAATCCCATGGACAGAGGGGCCGAGGAACCTGTCTGGCTACAGTCCATGGGGTCGCAAGAGTTAGACACAAGTTGGTGACTAAACTACTACTACTAGATACAATCTATGGGCTCTGATGGTGGCTTTGGCTGATGTTGCCAGAGGACATAGAGAAGTAAATGGTTAGATTCAAAGGACATTTTAACAGCAGTACTGAGTGAAGAATTAATTATGGACAGGAGAAAGGAAAAGTGTCAAAAATCATAGTCCCATTTCTGTCATGAACACGTGGGTACATGTTCATGTTATCTAGGAGAATGTCAACCACAGGAAGAAAGCTGCTTTGAAGGCCCTAACAGATGCTAAAGGTATTGATTATGTATTCCAATTATATCCAATATATAAAACACATATTAGAAGTGAGAAACACCTTTAATTGGTGCATATAAATAGAAACACATATGGGTATTGTTTTAGTTTTTGATGGAATATTTAACTTGACTATGACTTAATTACATCTGTGCTCATTCAAAACATATTTCTATATTCTGAATATAGTTAGCCACCTAGAAAATGAAAAGTATATGAAGCTTTTCTGAAAAATATTGTAGGAGGAAAAAGGAAGAGAAGGAAAGGTGGGGAGATTTGCAAAGGAAAATTAGGGAAAACAGAGAGGAAGTAATGGAAAAAAAGAATAAAGAAAGAAATGGGAAGTGGGAAGGATGGAAGGAAAGAAGAAAAGAAGGAAGGAAGGAGACAGGATTTTTTTCCCTATTAATTGTCACTATCATATTTGACCTTCTACCAAGGTCATTCACCCTCCAGTAATGAAGACAAATGTAATGTACTGGATTCTGCCTAGATGATGAAACAAATCCATTTTTTCATTTGACAGTTCAGACTTTTAATTTGGTGTTTCATCTTCAAAAAAAAAAAAAAGGTTGAATTGGGTTTGGTATGCTTGTAAATTTGGATTAAGGTTAGTCTGATCTATTCTATAAGCAAAACAGCTTATTACTCTTGCAAATTTTAAGATGAGATCAAAGCAATACATTCTATTAACTAGACATTTTCCACTAAAGGTAAGTCACTTCTTGCTCCCAAGAGAATGCCTAAGAATAATTTAAAAAGAAAATTCTCCATGTTTCTCTGTATGAACGAGAAAAATCATACACACAGTGTAAGTATAATAGGAAACCTCTTCCATGTTTCTTGGTCCTGCAGTGTGGATTTTGTAGGGTGATATGTAGAACTCTCCACATGGCATTATAATTGAAACATTGTTGTATGTTACAAGATTCCGTTTTTTCATCTGCCTTCCATAATAGTCACTCTTTAATCTTTTTTTTTCCCCCTCTGTTGCCTCATTTTGCCTTCTCAGAGTATTACGCATGCTGAATACCATTATTACTTTTGGTTATTAACTAGGGATGGATTTGGAAAAAGTAATTTTGTGCCAGCTTGATGTAGCAGAATAAGCTGTCAAACATCATAGCAGGTGACAGTGCGCTGTCCTTCTGTGAAGCTACAGCGCAGTGTGTGTTATAGCTGGAAGGTTATAGGTAATCAGAGAGGATTACTGAAGGCAGCTTTATTAAATATCTGCGGAGGTCTACTGTGGCTGCGACCAGATAATATGAGCTTCCAATATGAAAACAGGAAATTATTAATAAACTGGATTGGCTGTTCTGAATGCCCTTGCAAAAGTTTATCTAATTTTACTTTCCAGGGAGATGAATGTCAAGTATTAGATTTATTATTACTTAAGGTGTAGGCCTTTTATACTTTGAAGTGATTCTCTTTTAATTTGTTATATTTCCCTGGATGTTTGATGATATTAACATTGTTTAAACCAGGATGTTTCCATTCTCATTTTCTAGTAAGTAAATTTTGACAGTTCAGAGTAGAGCAGGTTTCATGTATTCTTTCTGATGGTGTATGATAAAATATGGCTTACCAGGAGACTTAAATATATAAGTTGGCAAGATGTTCTTCCATATTGGAATAAAGCATTTTATAAGCTTGCATCCAATACAGTTCTTTAATTTTTTTTTCGTGGAAATTTTCAAAAGTGAAAAAAAGTCAGTTTGTTCTTTCTTTTAAAGGATGCTTTCATTTATGGCAGAAGAAACTGTTGATTTATTTTTGTTTAATTGCAGCACAAAATAATAAGGCATAGCATTTGAAGAACTCCTACAACTGCTTTGATGCACCTTCATCTATTCAGGAATGTGAGAAAGGCAGCACCTTACGTTTAACACTGTGAAGTTTGACAAGCATTGAAACAAAAAAAGGAAGTGTAAATTTTACTAATCAAAACATCTGTACAGTGCAGCCATTTACATTTTCCTATCAAGACATGAGAGAAATGTTAATTTTAGACGACTCTTTTTATGACCTATAATTACTGTCATTAAGAAAGCTCTGGAGACATACAGGGGGGCTTTGACTGAAATACAGTTTGACATGTTCTATAATTAATGTTGAATTAACGTGCTACATGAAGTGCCTTTGGAAAAAAAAAAGGTTTCTTTTTCTCAAAGAGAAGTCAAAGAAATTATATTACATGCATGCCCACCAGCACAGCAGTATTTCAACATATATTTTTGAGCCTGTGAAAAGCTGACTTCTCAGGTACTTAAAAATGAGTATTAAAACTTTCTTTCAGTTTAGGTTTCTTTCGGTTAGGTTTCTTTCGGTTTAGGTAGGATATGTATACAAAGGAAAATTTATTTGTTTCAAAGTTCTTTCTTTTATATTCTAGATGAAAAATTAATACATTAAAGATGCTTGCTTCTTGGAAGAAAAGATATGACCAACCCTATTAAGGAGCAAAGACATTACTTTGCTGACAGAAGTCCATCTAGTCAAAGCCATGGTTTTTCCATTCGTCATGTGTGGATGTAAGAGTAGGACCATAAGGAGAGCTGAGCACTGAAGAACTGATGCTTTCAAACTGTGGTGTGGAGACTCTTGAGAGTCCCTGGGACTGCAAGGAGATCAAATCAGTCAATCCTGAAGGAAATCAGTCCTGAATATTCATTGGAATGACTGATGGCTTAAGCTGAAGCTCCAATACTTTGGCCACCTGATGCAAAGAACTGACTCATTGGAAAAGACCCTGATGCTGGGAAAGACTGAAGGCAGGAGGAGAAGGGGGCGACAGAGGATGAGATGGTTGGACGGCATCACTGACTCAATGGACGTGAGTGTGAGCAAGCTCTGGGAGTGGGTGATGGACAGGGAAGCCTGGCGTGCTGCAGTCCATGGGGTCACAAAGAGTCAGACACAACTGAGTGACTGAACTGAACTGATCTGAACTGAAGTTTATTTGCTTTTGATATACTAAGAACACTGAGAACACTGGAAAGAGTAGAAACTTGATCATAAAATGCACAATTAGTGCTTCCAGTGTAGTAATTCTAATGCTTTCTTACAAGAATGTTACTGTAATCTTTTCCTGGAATGTAAGATCCATGAGAGCAGGTGATATTGTCTTTAAATCCTTTACAACTAAAATTTGCATGAGATCTACTGGGTCCTTAATAAATTTGGTAAATGAACTAAAAGAATAAGGAATATAATACTACTATTTCAATATTTTGAAAGATCTTCTCTATACTACTGTCACATTCAAAATGTTTTTGAAGTACCTGACAAGAAATGTGATATAACATCTTCTGTAGGTAGGCTTTTGTGTTTATGTGATATGAAAAAAGACAAATGATTTTTCAGAATGAATTTTTAAATGAAAACTTCTCAAATTAATTAAGAAGGAAAATATCATTTTTGGGTAAAAGCACATTTTGTGGTAGTTCTAATAATTTCACATTAGCCATACTCAGAAAGAGTGAAACTATAAAATATCCTTGAGGACATTTTCAGAGAGTATCTTAAACAATTTCATTCCTAATAATATTTTAAATAAAGATAATTATCAAAATTCCTTGGCATCAAAACTCAACATTATTTTCCTTATGATTTTAATTACACTACTATTAAGATTTTTGTTTAATGTTTATTATATTACAAAGCTGATGTTCTGAGGAAGATTGGAAATAATGTGTCTTCCACCAGAATCCACTTCTAAGTCTACTACACAGAGTCATCCTCAGGGGACAGTTAATATACAAAGCATTAAAATACTTCTAGGTCAAATTCCTAATATTGACTTTGCTATTGTTTTCCTTGGTGGCTCAGATGGTGAAGAATCTGCCTACAATGCAGGAGAACTGGGTTTGATTCCTGGGTCAGAAAGATCCCCTGGAGAAGGGAATGGCAATGCATGCTGGTATTCCTGACTAGAGAATTGCATGTACAGAGAAGCCTGCCTGGCTATAGTCCATGGGGTCATAAAGAATCAGCCATGACTTAACGATTCATGTTTTCACTTCCCTGGTGACTCAGTGGTAAAGAATCTGCCTGCTAATGTAGGAGACATGGATTTGATCCCTGGGTTGCAAAGATCCCCTAAAATAGGGAATGGCGATCCACTCCAGTATTCCTGCTGGGGAAATCCCATGCACAGGTGAGCCTGGCAGGTTATAGTCCATGGGGTTGCAAAAGAGTCAGTTATGACTTAGCTCATAAACAACAACAATTTTTGGTTTGAAAAATTAGATGTTTCAGATTATTTTGTTGTTCAAAAATTTCCCAGAGTATCTCAGCACTTGAACTGATTCCTCCTTGCAATAGAAGCAGGACTGGACTAATCTGCTGCCAGTTAAAAAAAAAAAAATGCATGAAACAAAACAAATAAGGCAAACCAAAACAACAACAAAAGACCCCAAACTAAAGGATATCCAAATAGCCTCAGTAAAGGCTAAAGAGACTCTGACATATTTTAAACCAAAAAAAAAAAAAAATCTGTGATAAACCCACAAAGGAATCTCTTCTTTAACTCCTGCTTCTGTGTGAGCAAATGTTTGTTTTTATTAAAATTGGTTTTGAAAAAATGTCATGATAAATATGTGTAACCATATTGGACAGAGAGCTACTACTCTCAACCTGGAAAGCACACTCTCATGAGTTTCTAAAATAATCTGCATTCAAATGAGATGTGTACATGAAAATACAAGGAAATAGCTTGCATGTATACAAAATTAGAAAAGAAAACCAAGATTTGCAAAGTATAGATAATCAAAGTTAAGGAGCATGTAACAATGCTTTTAGATTTAAATTTTACTTATCACTGGGTGCTAAAATTGTTCAAGCTTGTGAAGAAAGTTTTCCATAAAAGTTTCAATTATTCTTCCTTTGATTGCTATTGTAGTTAAACTCTATATTGTTTGAGGCTAAGGGATATTGATTTTTCATGTTGGAATATTAATAGGGACTTATAAGATATATTTGAAATGCCCTAATTTATTATTTCCTTCCTCATCTTTTGCCAGGAATTAAGCTCAATTTTTTTTCTTTTTGATCAATCCAAGTAGGAGAGAAGGAAAAATATCACTCCAATCAGAATGAGCACAGTGAACTGAAGTTAACTACAGTGTATTTTATTTTGGTAGGCAGCTTTTGCTACTTCCTTTTGGGAAATAAGAAAATGAAAATAAATAAATAAATAAATGATGGATCCAGTCCTTTCCTGAGCCTCTTCTTTGTATTTCACAAACGTCTCTTATTTGCTTGTGAGCTTCTGGAGGATGAGGGTCATGTTCTGTTCCTTTAAGAATTCTAAATGTAACCTTGATGTTGATACAGTCCCATCCCAGGTTTCAGGTGAATGCCATTGACACAGACACTAAGTCTGGGAACAAAGTTTCCTTCATATAAGAAATGAGGATACAGCTGGTCTTTGCAAAACTTTGATGTCTTCTCTGAAGAAAATAGATGTAAAAAGTGCAACTGTGGAAAGAATAGAAATACATAATGTTTTCTTCAAAAGGTGAATGATGTATCAATGAGTAAATGTATGTATGTGTGTGTGTGTGTGATTGAAGCAACCACTGAATAAATGGTATATTAAATACATTGTTTGCAGGCTATGATTAAAATAAAAAGTTTCTCTGAAACTGCTGCTACCTCAACAATAAAAATCCTAAAATGTTTTTAAGTTCCAAATTAGAATCTCCACTCAGCGATAAGAATATATCCAGTCCAATATATTCATTAACATTTTATTTTTAGTCAAATTTTAAGCTTATTCCCTCTTTAAACCATGATAAGTTCTGTAACTGGGGTGTCTTTCTAGAAGGAGCATGTTCAATGACATCAACTCTCCCCACTCATTCCCTCTCTTTCCCGTGGCAGCAATGAGCTGGGAGAAGGCAGGAGAGGTCAGGGATAGACTAAAGTTTTTATTTTCTAGACGACTTCCCACTTCCAGACCTTGAGGTTGATTAAGATGACCTTTGCCCTTTCTGAGGGCATCTGTGGGAAATTCCAAGTCCATCACCAGTGGATACATTTGAAACCCTCGACTCCAATCCAGTGTCACTGCCAAATGACTTTGCAGTCCCTTTGTGGCCCAGGATCTCTTCTTACATAGGACACAATGATGGTGTACAGGTCTATAATGCTGCCATTTCTGGCCTACTGCTTTCCGAAGGGTGAGTCAGGCACTATCCTTTCTCCCTGGCCCCACCTAGGTTTAGCGGGCCCAGAGCAGATTCTTTCCAGGGGCCTGTGAATGCCCTTTCACAAAACATAAGGTAAAGGATGTGAACCCTTCAGCCCTCTCTGCTTTGGAGAAGGTAATGGCTTCACTTGTCAATTTCTCTCCAAAGATGTGGCTTTTCAACTCTCTCTCAACTACTGTGGTGTGGAGGTAGTCACTATGTCGTGTCCAACTCTTTGCACCCCATGACAGTAGCCTGCCAGGCTCCTCTGTCCATGAGATTTCTCAGGCAAGAATACTGGAGAGGGTTGTCATTTCTCCAGGGGATCTTCCCAACCAGGGATGAAATCCTAGTCTCTTATGTCTCCTGAATTGACAGGTGGGTTCTTAAGCACTAGTGTCACCAGGAAAGCCCTCTTTCAACTATAATCCTTCCTTATTTCACTGATATGACCCACGGTACCACAGTTGCAAAACTTATCATTTGTCCCTATAGTAAATTTTGCATTTCAAATCATCCACACTTTTTGTTTTCTCTACAACACCTCCCATTTTCTTATGTTACAACTTCACTGAAAGGGGTGTGCATGTGTGCTAAGTCGCGTCAGTCATGTCTGACTTCTTGTGACTCTATGGACTGTAGTTGGCCAGGCTTTTCTGCCCACAGGATTCTCCAAGCTAGAATACTGGAATAGGCTGCAAGAGACGTTAGAGGAAGAAAATTAAGTTGGTAAGTATTTGGAAGCCAGAATAAAATATTTGGCTATGTTTCTAAACAACAAAATTATTTCATCAAATAAAACCTGACTTTTGTTCGAAAAAGAAAAGAATTGCATTCATTGAAGTAACAGTGGAAAGCTTGATAGGTGCATCTCCTTCCTTCTCTCTCCAATTCTCTGCCCTTGAAACGACTCCTTCCACTGGAAGGAGTTTCTCATATCCAGAAACCACAGGATATGAGAGTATATATGGAAAGCCCTCCCTCTCCTAGAGGCCATATATGATTCAGGACAAATACAAGGTTAATTATAAGAAAGACTAAACATCAGATCTGGAGAAGGCAATGGCAACCTACTCCAGTACTCTTGCCTGAAAAATCCCATGGATGGAGGAGCCTGGTAGGCTGCAGTCCATGGGGTCTCAAAGAGTCTGACAGGACTGAGTGACTTCACTTTCCCTTTTCGCTTGCATGCATTGGAGAAGGAAATGGCAACCCACTCCAGTGTTCTTGCCTGGAGAACCCCAGGGACGGGGAAGCCTGGTGGGCTGCCGTCTATAGGGTCGCACAGAGTCAGACACAACTGAAGCAACTTAGCAGCAGCAGCAGCAAACATCAGATCAATGTTGAGGAGAGAATAAAGGGTATGAAAACAATTAGGAAACAATAAAGTGACTGCAGAAAAGGCAGAAAGAAAGTATATAAAGGGGCATTAACAGTGATTTAGTTAGCTTGTTAGGTAGGTAGTTATTAAAAGAGCGAAATAACACAATCTTTTTCTTGTATTTCTTTTGTTTCTTCTCTTGAGGAGTAGCAGCATGTTTTATGTCTATATCTTTGTAGCTTCAAAGGCGTGTCTTACTCTTCTTTCTCTCCATGGAGATGTGTACTTTCATTGTAATTCTATTAACACATTACATGTTAGCAGAGAATTTAATGCAGATTTTGAGAAGTGATAGATTCATGATGGGATCCAGTTACTAAAATTTGACCACATCATCTCTATCTTCAAACATGCTGCCAATTTTCATTCTTTCCCTTTTTAATGAAAAATAATTACTAAAGAATATCATTATTTCTTCTACAAGAATGAGGCTTGGAAGATTATAGGGACTTTTCAAATAGCAACATCTCTTGGGCTCTGACTTTATTTCCATATCTCATAAATCTAAACACACCATTTTTGTTAGCTATTTTATTCTTTTTTAACAAAAGTATATATGTGAACTCAATATTTTAAATATGATTCAAAAATTTTTTGTGTATTTCACATGAACTGAATTTTTTTCCCCCTTTTATCTTTTGACCCACTTCACCCATTTCCCCATCCCTCCACCTCCTCCCTGAGGCTATCATCTTTTTTTCTGTACATTAGCTTATTTTTTTACTTTCCCTCTGTCTTTCCTTTAGTTTTCTTTGTAAAAAAGATTCCATGTACAAGAGAGTTCATATGATTATTTGTCTTTCTCTGTCTGACTAACTTCACTTAGCATAATGCACTCCCCCCCCAACTGTTGTCCACACGTCTGTTTCCTATGTCTGGATCTCTATTCCTACAGTTTTCAATATCTGAGTCTATGACTTAGTACTGTTTGGGTTCAAAGCTGAAATGTCCATATACCAGAAAAACTACCATTCAACTACTAAGTATCCATATGTCTGATCCAATGCTTTTTGATTGTCTTAACACCCCTGAGCATCAACTTCCACAAAACAAGTAAGTGGAAAAATAAACCTGCAAACATACCAAGAAATCATCATTTTCTAATGCTGTATTTCATTTGTCATCAGATGACACTGCAGTTTACCCAGTGCTGTTAGCAGGTAGCATGAGACTTATCTCTGACTACTTCCTTCCTCTATGTAAATGAGTACATTTTCTGAATAGTTCAGAGTGCCTACCGGTGCCTAACATTTGTCAGTGTCTTCATTTTTAGATAAAGTTTAAGATCCTCAGCATGCCAAACAGATCCTTCATGATCCAATCTTGGTTAACTCATGTAGCATCATCTTTTGTCATTTTTTTCTATATTATAATTTATTTTCTAGTAGTGATGAACAACTTTTAATTCCCCAGACTTATGCTAACAGTGCCAGAATTTGTGTCTTGAGTGCCTTGGTTCCTTTCCTGTCTAGAAACTATTGACTTTACTTTTACTTATTTTTAAAAATTTATTTATTTATTTATTTATTTAACTTTACAATATTGTATTGGTTTTGCCATACATTGACCTGAATCTGCCATGGGTGTACATGTGTTCCCCATCCTGAACCCCCCTCCCATCTCCCTCCCCATCCCATCCCTCTGGGTCATCCCAGAGCACCAGCCCCGAGCACCCTGTGTCATGCATCAAACCTGGACTGGAGATTCATTTCACATATGATAATTTACATGTTTCAATGGCCATTCTCCCATATCATCCCACCCTCACCCTCTCCCACAGAGTCCAAAAGGCTGCTCAATACATCTGTGTCTCTTTTGCTGTCTTGCATACAGGGTTATCGTTACCATCTTTCTAAATTCCATATATATGCATTAGTATACTGTATTGGTGTTTTTCTTTCTGGCTTACTTCACTCTGTATAATAGGCTCCAGTTTCATCCACCTCATTACAACTGATTCAAATGTATTCTTTTTAATGGCTGAGTAATATTCCATTGTGTATATTGACTTTACTTTTAAAACATGATTGAGTTTTTAAAAATTTTCTTTAAAGACTCTTTATCCTGGTTCAATAGCTAACAAATTCCTAAAATTGCTTACTAACTTAAGTAGGTTATCTGTTTAAGTACAGATATTATTACATCTAAAGTAACATTTTAGAAATATAGAGAATTCTAATGTGATCTACATGTGTAATTTTAAAATTTCTAGAACTTATGTTAAGAAAAAGAGAAAAATAAAACAGGTGAACTTAATTTTAATAATATGTTTAATCATATCAAAAACTTATTATTTCAAAATAAAATCAATGTAAAATTATTTTTAAAAAGTTATACTAAGTCTTTAACATCTGGTGTATATTTTACTCTTACATAAATATATCAATTTGAGTTACTTAAATTTAAGTGCTTGGGCTTCCTCAGTGTCTCAGTGGAAAAATAGCATGTATTTTATGCATTCGATTTACAAGCCCTTATTGAACAACCATAATCCTAAAACTCAATCTGTTTAACTAGAAATTGTATCTTAGAATTTTTCTAGCCCAGAACATTGTATCACTAGAATAATAATTCCTACTCTTTGAGACTCTTTCCAGCTCTTTGCCACCCCATGGACTATACAGTCCATGGAAATCTCTAGGCCAGAGTTGATAGTCTTTCCTTTCTCCAGGAATCTTACCAACCCAGGGATCGAACCCAGGTCTCCTGCATTGTGGGCAGATTCTTTACCAGTTGAGCTATCAGGGAAGCCCAGAATAATAATAAAACATTGTCAAAAAAAGAATTCTCAATTCAGATAGATCTGCATCCAAGCTCCAAGTCTTCTCCATCCATCATCTTGAGCAATTTACTTACTTTCTGTAATTCTTCATTTTAATGTCTTTAACATGGGTCAAAATAATGCTAACTCATAGGGCTATACAATGATTAAATGAGTTGATGCATATATAAGAGTATAGTGAGTGAAATCTGGTAAGTAGTCAATGAACATTAGATATTTTTAGTACATATGTCTAAAGTTTCCTAACCTAAAAGTGTATTCCTTTCAGTAGCTTTCAGTCTCTGCTTTTCAATGAAATGATATTTTAATTAATGGAGTTCATAAAACTGTAAATATTTATCCATTTCTTCAAATATTAGTATAACTATGTAGATAAGTCATAAGTAATTTGAACACTGAAACATATTACTAAAATATTATAATTAAACAAGTCTTTTAAATGTATGTAAATGGAAATGAAGAATAATTTCAAAGGAGAAAATGGGATTAATACATAAGAAACCAGAAAGAAGTATTACTTAGAAAGTTTTAAGGATTTTAGAATGAGGAACATACATTTTAGTAATATACTATGAAGCTCTACACTAGGCCCATAAAATATTTTTTTTCTTTTTAAAATATTTTTTAAATAAGAATTTAAAATGTAATAAGCAATGTGTAAAAGTTATAAATTATTATTTTTCATATTATAAAATTATTCAAATCAAATGGCTCCATTTATTTCCCTTGTTGACTTGTTAACATAGCTGAAAATAATTATTTGGACAGTTATGTTTAATTTAGGTTTTATGACTCCTTGGAGTGAAGAGAGGAAGAGTGTTGTAATTTTCTGGACATGGAGAGTCATTTGCTGTGGTAAACTAGATAAATGCTTGTGCTGCCTCACGGGAGTGGGATAGAAAAGAGTAGCTGCTTCTCTTCTGCTGAGACAACAAGGTCCCCATATTCTTTCAAAATCAGTGGCCTTAGAGGGATCGTGAATTGCTGAGGTAGAACAATCCTTACTCTCCTTTATCTCTCATCTACTGCCTTTGAAATCAGCTAGAGCTGTGTATTTGGAAGCAGCACAAAGGGTAAGACTGGAAATAAAAATATGGCCTAGGATTTGTGATGCTCAAGTGATTCAGACTCATTTCTCCAATAGCAGCAGTACTGAAATATGCTAGACTTATCACTGATATATTGCAGTTCATAGCGTTCTAATTCATTTCACAGAAGTAATCCTGCCCAGCCCTACCATCCCTCTTTTAAATAGAACTTACCCTTGGTTCCATTTGAAATAATTCATCATTAAGCTCAGAATACTCGAGTCCATCAAATTATGCAGATACAGGAAGTGTCCAGACCTTCTTTGTGGACAAAATCACAGTGGTTAAAAACTCCTCTGATATGTAATGCTCAGCTGTGATATAAAATGCACTTCCAGCATGCCAAAGCTTTTTCTTCCTTCAAGTAGTTTCTGAAATTCTGCATACTTCTTTCCCAATGACTTCTTTCCCAAAATGGGCATAAGCAAGTCCCTTAGTTTCTGTATTCAGCATGCAACAAAATGCGCTTATTTTTGCTTATGTGTAAGACTGACATTTTAACAATAGTCTCTAAATATCTTCTTGTACAAATCCACTGCATAGGTTAGTATTGTGTACTTTAGAGACAACATGCCTGTGCTCATTAATTTGTATTACATTAATGCATATTAATTTTTTGTGTATTGTTGGCTCTTCATCATCAATTATGTGGATTTTATTTTACCATTTCACCAAAGAAAGAAATATCTAGAAATATCTAGAAAATAATTAGCACTATGTAGTATTTCACAGTGCAATGTTACAGATTATTACTGAAATCACTATGTTGACTTTGCTTTTTTTTTTCCTTTTAATTTGTAACTCTGTTGTCCACTTTACTGGATTTATTTTATGGATCACAAATAGACCTAATTTCTTAAACATTTATTGCTGTGAATGACCACTTAACAACAATAACAAAATAATTATATTGTCTTCAGATTTGTAGGATTTAGGGATTTTCTTCTAAAAAAAAAATAACCAGATAGATTTAAATAAAAGAAGCCAACCATTTAAGAAGAGAAATAATATAAAGTGTCCAAACTTCAACTTCCTGTTACTTATAAATACATAATGTCTTATGTTTGTAAATAAGTTCAGATAAAAAATACTCTAGTTTTTTTTTTCAAAAGCTATCACATCATGGAACTAATATTTTATTTAAGTGTATAATTATTAATCAATTTCAATTCAAAACATGGCAATCCTTTGGTTTCTGCACACTCTAGTTTCACATTGAGTAGTCTCTTATTTTAAGTCAAACTCCTATCACTAATCATGGAGGAACAAAGATGTGTCCAAATTTTGAAGGAACATGGGTGTCCCAAAGCTCAGATAATGAATTTTAGCTCTCTCTGGAGAAAAGCCTTTCCTGTATGTAGTCTGGCAATATTCCAAGATTTCTTTTTAAAAGTAACTCCATATGTGTACTGAAAATAAGCTAGTGATGTTTTAAATCAACTGGAAAGAGAGGCTGTTCTTTTCAATATTTTTTTCCTAAGCATAACTTTGAAGTGCAGCATTTGGGGATTATGAAGGTTTGGGTTACCTGCTGAATGAAGGCATGGAAAATTATTTGAAAGTACCTTCTTTTTTTTTGAAACAGTCCTTTAAACTTATGAAATATCACCTGTGGTTAAGAAAAGGTACGCAATTCAAAGCATTTTTTTCAACCTAAAGACAAAGAGTTAATTTTAAATTGTGATTATATTTTCCAAGTTTTCTATAGCTGCAAGATCATAATCAAAAGTTCGTGGTTCACTTATTTTAGAGGCAGGAGATGATGGGGACAAGTCAATGTTATTAAGTTAGAGAAAATATGGGTAAATTTATAATGAGTTAGGTACTGTGAGCAAAACTGAAGCAAAGACCACAGCTTACTATGCTCTAATGATTGTCTCACAGCAGGATTTTAAGTGATTTCATTCTCAAATAAATTCAACTTGCATCTATTTCTCAGTAATGTGTTCTAACTTTATGTAAGGCATTCAAATATTTGAAATATACATATATGCATATATATTTGTGTGTATATATATATATATATTTGCATATCATATACATATATCATGTATATTATCATATATATATGTGGGAAATGTATTTGAATAAGAATTCTTCAGAAAGCAAAGGGATTGTAATAATATATGTCTTATTTATATCATGAAAGATATCCTTTGCCTAATGTGTCACAGACACACTTGATGGAGTTGGATATCGTCTAACAGCATTTTGAAAAGATACGAATGGTTCTGTAGTTAAATACTTATTTTAATACACAAAATTTGTTTTTCACTATATCCAAATGGAAAATGGCTGCATCTTTTTTTTTAGTAGCTATATAAATTGATAAAAAAGTAACCAAAAAAGCAACCTGATACTTGTTGAATGGCAACTGTGTTAAAAATCATGTTTCAGAGATACTGTAAAGCTATCTCTTCAGAAACTCATTTTCAAAGTATTTCAATATTTATAATTGGCAAATAATTTTTAATTTATATATTTAAACAATGTGATATAGTGCATAACTTATGTTAAAACTAACATTCACTAGATATATCTTTCATGAAATTAAGAAATACTGAATGTATCTTTCATGTAATTGGTGCTGTGCTAAGAGCTAAGGAACCAATCAAATATGTTGTTGCTGTTGTTCAGTCACTAAGTTATGTCTGACTCTTTGAAACCCATGAACTGCAACACATTAGTTACATTGCATATTATCTATTGATAAGTGTTAAGGAGAAAAAGATATTGTAGAAAAGGGACATATAATATTCTGGGTGTGTTGCATGGAAAGGTTATTGAAATTTTTGATAGGCTGAAAATCACCTCTGAAATAGCTTTTGAATAAAGACCTAAGCTGAACTTGGAAGTAGACATTGTATATGTCTGGAAGAAGTGTACTAGCTCAAGGTACACATAGGGGAAGCTTCTTATATTTTACAAATAGAGAAGATGGCAATATGGCTGTAGAAAGGCAGAGAAATATGTAGCAGAAGAAGTCTGAAAAGTAATAGAGTCAAGATCAGATAGGATCTTGAATGCCATGCAAAGACTGGATTTTAATTAGGGTAGTTGGAGGATTCTGAGAGCATGAACAACATAATGTGAATTATGTGTTAGTAGACCACAACGATTTTGAGAATAAACTATAAGCAGGCAAAGACGGATGCAACAAGATAATTCAGAAACCCATCGCAACAATCAGGGAAGAGATGTTGTCCCTAGTAGTGGATTATGACAGTGGTGATGGTGAAGATAATAAAATGTGGTTGAATAATAAATCTATGGTATTTTGAAAATAGAGACAGCGGTACTTAATCAATTTCTTATGAGATACAAAAAAATAAGAAGGGTTAATAACAGCAAAGGCCAAGGTTGGAAGGTTGGGGTTCTCACTGTGATGAAGAAGTCTGTTGAAAGGAGTGGGTTTGGGAAAAAAATCTGATATTTGGATGCTTGTAGATGTTCAGGTTGAGAGTACAACAGTTTATTATTGATATAAGTCTGGAGTTCATGTGGAAGCCTAGAGTTGAGATATAAATTTAGGGGTCTTAACACGTTGTTGTTGTTGTTTGGCTGCTACGTAGTGTCTCTTTGAGACCCCATGGACTGTAGCCTACCAGACTCCTCTGTCCATAGGATTTCTTGGGCAAGAATACAAGAGTAGGCAGCCATCTTCTTCTAAAGGGTATCTTCCTGACCCGGGGACCCAACCTGGGTCTCCTCATTGGCAGGCGGATTCTTTCACCTCTGAGCCACCAGGGAAGCCCAAATTTAAAGCACATTAGATTGTATTAAAACAACTACCCTGGATGAGTATACCCAGTGTGTACAGATAAAGATAAATATCCAATTCCTTATTACAAAGTTAAATATAGTCTTTATTACTTTTTTATTTTTATATTTTTCAGACTCATCTATATAAAAAAGCTTAATAGAAAAAACTGGAAAAATGCAATATCAAGAAAAAAAATAACAAGATACTGACAAATAAAAAGGAGAGCTGGCAGAATCACCACAACTACCCTGCAGAATGTTGTATTATTATGTATTGTTTTTGAAAATGTATATGCCTTATGATATAAAATTCACAGTTATTGTGTATAGTGGGGAAATGTTATAAAGAATATTTCTTATACATGCCCTAAAGACATACAACTATTTTATTGCAATATTTCAAATCAACATCTATCAGAAGAGAAATGGGAGACTGACTGAGGAATGAAATATTACACAGCTGTCAAAAATAGGTACACCAGAACTATTTTTATATACATGTATATATATATGTATACATACATTATCAACTTTTGTTGGAATCATAGACCAAATACTGAGTAAACAAAACAAAATGCAAAACACTTTATACAGTTATGAAATAATTGTATTTCAGTTAAAAATCATAAATATTGTACATACATAGACCTCTGCTGTGATAATGTTTGTACTAAATATAAAAACATGAATAGCCTCAACTTTAATCATAATTATTGCTTCTAGGGTAGGAAAAGGGAAACATGGATAATTATAATATTATCTGTAGTTGATGTACTATCAAACATATAAAATAATCAGATACAACTATAACAAAATGTTTTCATTTCTTAGTTGTGTTGTGTTATCCTATTTTTTCTACATATTTTTATATCTTTTTAAAGAGAAGATCTGATGGTTTTGTGCATGTGTGAAAATTGTATTAGGAACACTCCCAGAAATTGAGTCACCATTCTATAGAGTTGGATTGCTGCTAGAACTATTAAATAAATTGGAAAATATTTGGCTCTTAGTAAAGAATTTTGCTAAACTCTTTTATTAACTTCTCTTAATGTAGATATCAGCATTTTCCTTCCACTAGTTTCTAGTAATCAAATATAAATTCATAGCATCACACAGTCCAAAATGAAAAGGGAGGAAAGAGTCTATATCTTAAAAGAAAAATCCCAGCCCTGACACAACTCAGTTTAAAAACTGAAATAGACATCATGGGGAGAAAATTCACAAACAGCAGATGTTGTGGTTCTCTTTTCAATTGTTGATATTAAACAAGAACACCTCTGAGATTTCACATCCTGTGTTTATATATTGTAGTTAAAATGGTAAAGTGGTATATTCTGGTACTTTTAAATATTTTATGATATAAAGCATTTATGATGAAGAATCATTTTGCTCACAAAATGTTAGATTTCCTCTAACATTCTGTTTTAACTTGGAAGGAAACTATACCTATAACCTATACTGCATGGATAGGAAACAATGAACAGATAGTGCTATAAAGTGATTTTGTACAAAGTAAATGTTTTCATTTTCAGAGAGGTAAATATTTGACACAACATGGAATATGATCATTTTTTAATATTGTATCTAGTAGGATTATCTCAACATAAAAAATAATGAAATTGATAAATAAATATGTAAAATCATTCAATTTAGTAGTTTGAAATAAATATAAGAAAATATCCTATATTACAAACATAGATCATTACTAATACTGATATCAAGTGTTCTCTTTTTAAATTGATAAGGCAGCAAAAAGTAAAGCTTGCCAAATTACAAGTTAATCCTCTATTCGATCTAATTAGGTTTATATTCTAGATGTTTTAAAGGTTACATGAAGAAAAACTGTGTTTTATAGCTTCTATTTTGAATTCTTTATAACCATTTTGCACATCCCTACTATTAATTACAAAGGCATGAGGAAATAAAGTTATCTTTTGGAATGAGTTTTCTTTGACTTGAAAAGAAAAAAAAAAAAAAAAAATACTATNAAAAAAAAAAAAAAAAAAAAAATACAATGACCCTGCCGAGCACATGAGATCTGGATGTAGATTGCCTAGATTTGAACTCTTTAATCTTACTCATCTTTCTCACCTTTAAAGTAGATATCAGCTTATCAATTTGTGAAGATTCAATGGGATGAAACAAAAAGGTACCTAATGTTTGGCACCTGAGAAGCACCCAGCTATTATCTACGGCATTATTAGTACTGTTTTTGTTGTTGTTGGAAAGGAACTAATTTTAAAAATAGTCTCTGGTCTTACAGCATCTTCTTTACACTCCCGTTAACTCATTCTCTTTCAAGGATTATTTAAAAAATCACATCTGGTTAAATTCTTTTCCCAATTAAAATCGTTAACAATTTTCATTTACTTTTAGGGCCAAGACCAAATATGTCTGTTTGGTCATAACATGTCTATTAGGGTCCTACACAATGTCATCCTTGCCTTCCTCAACAGCTTTATCATTAATAACTTTATCCACTGCTTTTGCCCCCCAGAAACACTTTGTTCTCTCAAAGACACCAACTTCCTTCCTCTTATGGACAAACCTATACACATGCAGCCCTTCTACCCAGTCAATCCCTGCTTACCCTTCAGATCTCTGTCCTAAGTTCAGCTTCTCTGAATCTTCCTGGACAGTCTGAACCTTCCAGCCTTGGTCAATCTGTTCTACAACACATATTTCTTAAAATTTTGTGATTAGTTTTGCAGTGGTGTGCTATTTTACTATATCGAAAAACAGTTTTTCCACCCAGAAAGTATATATTAAGTTAAAGGAATAGTCACTGAATCCCCTTCAATTGCCCATGGCTATATAAAGTTCTTCCCAATCAGAGAAAGGGAGAAGAGGAATCAGAGAGGGAATAAGAGAGCTTATACCTTTCTGGGTCCCAGAATCAGGGTAGGTAGAGTAATGAAAATAAAAATAAGAATAAACAAATGGGATCTAATTAAATTTAAAAGCTTTTGCACAGCAAAGGAAACCATCAACAAAAGAAAAAGACAACCCTCAGAATGGGAGAAAATATTCACAAATGAAACAATATACCAGGGATTAATGTCCAAAATGCACAAACATCTCATGCAGACTCAATAAGATAAATAAATAATTGAATTAAAAAATGGACAAAATATCTAAATAGACATTTCTCCAAAGAAGACATACAGATGACTAAAAAGCACATGAAAAGATGGTCAACACCACAAACTATTAGAGAAACATAAATCAAAACTACTGTGAAATATCACCTCACACTAATCAGAATGGCCATCAGTCAAAAAAAAAATTACAAATAATAAATGCCGAAGAGAGTGTGGAGAGAAAGGGAACATTCTTACACAGTTTCTGGAAATGTAAATTGGTACAGCCACTATAGACAACAGTTTGGAGGTTCCTTATAAAACTAAAAATAGAACTATCATATGACCCAGCACTCTCACTCTTAAGCCCATACCTGGAGAAAGCTATAATGTGAAGATACATGCATACAAATGTTCATTGCAACACTATGTACAATATCCATGACTTGCAAACAACTTAAGTGTACATCAACAGAGGAATGGGTAAAGAAAATGTGGTACATATACTGTTGTTGTTCAGTCACCCAGCCATCACCAACTCTTTGCCATGGACTGCAGCACTCCAGGTCTCCCTGTCCCTCACCATCTCCGGAAGGCTGGCCCAAGTTCATGTCCATTGCATCAGTGATGCCATCTAGCCATCTCATCCTCTGATACCCTCTTCTCCTTCTGCCCTCAATCTTTCCCAGCATCAGAGTCTTTTCCAATGAATCAGCTTCTCACATCACATGACCAAACTCCTGGAGCTTCAGCTTAACCATCAGTCCTTCCAATGAATATTTAGGGTTGATTTCCCTTAAGATTGACTGTTTTAGTCTCCTTGCAGTCCAAAGGACACTCAGAAGTCTTCTCAACCACCACAGTTTGAAAAGCATCAATTCTTTGGCACTCTGCCAGATTCTTTACAGTTCAGTTCTCACAACTGTGTGTGACCACTGAGGGCTTGACTATACTGAACCTTGTCAGCAGAGTAATGTCTCTGGTTTTCAAATATACTGTCTAGATTTCTTATAGCTTTCCTGTTGAGAAGCAATCATCCTCTGATTTCATGGCTGCAGTCACCATGTGCAGTAATTTTAGAGCCCAAGAAGAGGAAATCTGTCACTACTTCCACTTTTTCCTCTTGTATTTGCCATGAAGTAGTACATGAAGATATATATATATATGTATATATATACACACACACCACACACACACAATGGAATGTTATTCAACCATACAAAGACCAAAATAATGCCATTTGCAGCAATATGATGGACCTAGGGATTGTCATGCTAAGTGAAGTAAGTCAGACACAGAAAGACAAATATCACTAATATGTGACATCTAAAAATAAGGTGCAGATATACTTATCTACAAAACAGAAGTAGAGTTACAGATGTAGAAAAGAGCCATATGGTTACCAGGGCACTGGGGTGGGAAGAAAGGATAAAATGGGAACTTGAGATTGATATATGCATACTGCTGCATATGAAATAGATAACTAATAAGAACCTACCATTTAACACAAGGAACCCTACTCCATAGTCTGTGATGCCCTGTAAGGGAAAAGAATCTTAAAAAAAGAGTGGATATATGTATAGGTATAACTGATTCACTAATAAAAATAAAAAAAAAAAAAGAATTTGGTCAAATCCTAAATTCCCTTACCCTTACATGATGCTGAGAAAGCAGGAAAAAATTCTTAATGCTGTTTCTAGGCATTTGACCCTAAAATAGCTCCAAATCTCCATTACAGTCCTAGAATTCTGCAGATAGGTAATAACAGCATAGATGTTCCTTTGAGAGCTATTGTAACTTGAAACAGGTAAGAATAAAATATAGTGGAAATAGACAAATAGAGCTGGGAGGAAATTTACTGAGGATGTGGCAGGCATGAGGGTTTATGAAAACCCTCTCTTCTCATCACCTCAACCACCACATTGATGCCATTGACTATCATGTCTAGGCTGGTGCACCAAGCATTCTCCAGAATCTGAACAAATCCTCAGAGAAAATGGTTTCACCAATAAATTGGAAACCTTGTATATAATTTAAGTTTAATTATAGGAAGATAATACAGTGAATTGGTTGCAGTATATGCTTAAAATATTTTATTTGATTCTCTAAAATTATGTGACTTGATGCTAGAATGTAAATTCTATAAAGACAGGGATCTTTTCTATCTTATTCACTTCTCTATCTTCACAAGCACAGTCTTGGGCACAAGTAAGTGAATACCTATTTTGTGCTTGGTTAGAGAGCAGTGATGAATGAATTATAAGTATATGGTCTACTGGCTATGAAGTGGAGGCATTATTTTATGGAAACATATATTTGAGTTAAAATTTAAACATTATAAAAAGATTCCTTAACCTAAAGGCAAAGATGTTGAAACCCAACTTGGAACACTTGGCATATCTGGTCTCCAGTTCTCACATATGTAAATTTGAGATAATATAAAATCTCAGTCACTGAGTGCAGAGAAGGATTAAAAAGAAATAATGTATGTAAACTGTACATAAGGTTATTTAAGCTCTCCATTACTTTTCTTCTGAGTAATTTTTCCTAAGCAAGTATGACAACAGAAAACATTACTTTTTGACTCTATTTTTAAGAAATAGAACAATGTCTATACTTTGGCCCAGTGACATATATATATAATCATGTGACTATAAGTAAAAGTTCTTTACAATTGAAAGAAGTTTTTTTAATAGATGAATATATCTTAAGAAATTCTAGTTGTTTTATTGTACATAGTGTGTGTGCTCAATTGCATCTGACTCTTCATAACCTCATGAACTGTAGCCTGCCAGGCTCCTTTGTCCATGGAATTTTGTAGGCAAGAACACTGGAGTGGATTGCCATTTCCTAAGTGGTCAGGCAATATTCCTGACCCAGGGATCAAATCCACATCTTCTGTGTGTTTTTGCACTGGAAGTGAATTTTCTAACACTGAGCCAGCCACCTGGTAAGCCCATTGGTGCATAGAATGTGAGTTAAATATTACAGCAAATACTGTTTTAAGTTATTCTCTGAAAATGCTTTTAAAAATATCACATCAGTTTAGTTCTAAATGTTAATATTCATGGAGTTATTCTTTCCCAAGTCAAGGGATTTTTTAACGGATTGTTTTAGAGGTTAAAATATGTGTGGAAATCAGAGCATCTGACTAAATTACTGTTATGAACCAAATTGTGTCTCCTTCTCAACAGTCATATGCTGAAGCCTTAACCCCTAATACTTTAGAATGTGTCTGTATTTGTAAACAGAGCCTTTAAAGAAGTAATTAGGTTACAATAAGGTCACTAGGGTGGGTCCCATTTCAATATGACTGATCTCCATATAATAGGAGGAGATTAGAGAGATATCACCTATATGCTGATAAAGAAAAGGCCTTGTGAAGAGAGCAAGAAGGGTGCCAAGCCATGAAGAGAGGCTTGGAAAGAAACCCAACCTACTAATGCTTTGATCTAGGACCTCCAGCTTCTAAAACAGTGAGAAAATTTCACTCAAGCTGCCTCAATCAGGTATTTTGTTATGGGAGCCCTAGGAAACTAATACAACATCATCAGCATTAGTTTTTCTGTAACACTCTACAGTGTAAAAATATAAAAGCAAATTTTAAGTTCAAAAATAATACTATCTAACACTTCCTGGAGCTAAACATGTTGCAAGATTTCACTTAGGATATATGCCCATTAGAAGGTCTTCCCAAGTAATGCTATTGATAAAGAACCTGCCTGCCAATGCAGGAGACATAGGAAATACCAGTTTGATCCTTGGATCTGGAAGAGGGCATGACAACGCACTCCTGTGTTCTTGCCTGAAGAGTCCCATGGGCAGAGGAGCCTGGCAGACTACAGTCCACTGGGTCACAAAGAGTCAGACATGACTGAAGCAGCATGTACACACTCCCATTAGAAATGTATGCCCAACAGAAATGTATGCCAACATTCATTATAAAGATATTCATAGCAATTTAATTCTTAATAGCCTCAAACTAGAAGCAACCTAAATGTGCAACAGCATGAAACAGATTAAACATATTATGGTGCAATGTAACTCAAATAAATAATGAAAACAAAACAAAACAAATGCTGATACATGCAACAGCAAAGGAGAATTCAAAATATAATTTTGATGAAAGAAGCCAGACACAATATACATGGTGTATGATTATATTTAAATGGACTTCATAAACAGCAAAAGTTAATTTAGGTTGATAGAAGTCAGACTAATGATTACACTTGGTAGATAGGTAGTGAACAGGAAAAGGAGTACGAGGGAAAGAAATGCTGAAAATTTGCATCCATAAACTAGTTGGTGGTAATATGAGTGATTATATAGGTTAAAAAAGTCATGAAACAACACAATATTAGTATGGTTTGTATAAGTTATACTTCAATTAAAAAGTTTAAAAATACCACCCATTTTATGTTATTTTTAAATGTATATTTCATGACAAATAAGTCACTATGCTTATAATGAATCTACCCAGTACTGCAAAATGGCTTCGTAAACACCAGCGTCAGGCTGCTGGGGCAGATCCAAAGGAGCTCTCTTGCTAGGCAGAGGGTGCTCTCCAAGGAGAGAGACAAATGGAGGAGTGAGTTTCTGTTTGAACTTTCCAGGCATCACTGGAAGGAGCTTCCTAGATTCTTTGAAGGAGCAGACACACATGAGAGAATGGCACATCAGTAGTACTCTGATTCAAATCATTCCTAAGTATATTGAACTGTTTCAAGTCATGAGGAGTCTGGATCTGCCAAAAAACAGATCTCCCATCTTCCAGCTGAAATTAAGATCAAGCCCTGAGCCTTCAGAATGTCTTCAAGACTGACTGCAAGACCCTAGACTACCAGAGAAATAGCCCTAGGGAGTATCAAACAGTGAGAACTCACACAAAGGAAAC